CTCCCGCCGCGGGCGCCGTCCCGCAAGCCGCAAGTTGGCCTTAATTCAGCGAGACGTACGAAATTCATAGAGAAAACAATCAGTAGCGGTATTTGATTTTCTTGTAAAAATACTTCTAACCTTTTGATTGAATAAATCTCTGGGATCAGCTCCCTCACTAAGTGGTTCTTGTTGCGTGAACTCTGACATCACCATCCTATTGTGAACTTCCGGGTCAATGGTATGATTTTTATGGCGAAGGCTTAACTTGCCGCAACGCTTGGCGCTGCCCGTCTTACTCTGACGTTAGCACCGTCTGACGCCGCGTGACCTTTCCGGAATCCGCTGTTACCAACTGCGTTCCTGCCAGCCAGGGCCAAATAGTGACCGCATAAAGCGGCCCGAAACCCTACCGCCGGTGGGTGAACCGAAATACAGGCGCTCAAACCAACTGAGGTATTGGCACGAAATACAAAGGGAAAGGAAAGCGAATTGTCAGTTCCTATTTTCGTGGATCAAATTGTTATTTTTGTGGACAAACTTCGATACTTGGGGAAAGAAATAGTGGCGCTTCCGGGATAACAAAACGATATGTTTGGAATACAAAATAACAAAGCAAAGCAAAGGCATATTAACCATTTTCATGTTGATAATTGTGGCTGGCTTCTTTTTTGGACTGACGATCAGATCACTACATCGACACTTTTGATTTTGTTCCGCAAATTTTGGTGAGGTGCAACCCCCCGGTCAAAACCATGAGGCCTGACTAAAAACATAGAAAATATCACTGGTCTACTAAGTGGGCTAAAACGTGAAGTACAGCTGAGTATTTGACTCCATGCAACTAAAATACACGACTGGCCGTGCAGTGTAGTTTCAATGCAGCCGACTTTTTTACAAGCAAACCAACAATGGATTTGAACACCTCAGTGTGGTGGCTTAATCACATTTCTGGCATTGAAGTCCGACACAATTCTAGCAGCAAAAATGGATAATCTGATTTGTCATGCTTTCATGTTTTCATTTGAAATATGTCGTAGTTATTCCGTTGGTGCCAATGTTTCTTTTAGATGCGGACGCTTATTCTCAGAATTCGCTTCACTTTTCTTCCGTGCTTCGTCCCAATAGCTCAATTGGCAAGGGTGCCTCTGGCGGTAGAGGGGATTCTGGTCACGTTATGCGCCCATTATTTGACCGGGTGCGGGAAAGGTCAGGTTACGTCAGAAGGTCCGACCCTCAGGGTAGGCCGGAGGGCGCCGACCGTTGCGTCACGTAAACCTTTCGCCGTGAAATTATGCCGTCGATCCGGGGTTTCAGAATCGGATGGTGGTGTCAAAGTTCACGCAACAGGCATCGCTTAGCATGGATGCCGCTCCTAGAAACGCATCCAATCTAGATTAGATTATGACTAAATCTTCTGAATCCAACATAGATGCCGCAGCCGATTCCCTAGTTAGATTATGTATATTTTCTCAATAAGACCAATTTTGGATGCATGCCTGGTGATGGATCACCTACTCGCCTAATATGTGAAAAGAACCGACCACACAGCAGCCTTTCCCGCTTGCTCAGGTTCCGTTCAAGCTCCACTACCACACCGTCGAGCGAATGGGTCGGCCATCAATCGCTCCACCTCTCTGACCTGCCTGCTGCTGAGGTCATGCGTCTGGGTCAGGGCTGTTCCACACAGCAGCTGTGTGCTGCATCACAGCCCAAGGTTGCAGGACCGACCTCCGCTAAATACGACACACTGAAGCGCGAAGGGGCTTTATTTTTTTCCGCGATTGTACTGCATTTTGCGCTGGTACTCAACGACACTTGCCTGAAATGCTGGTACAAGACATTTGATGGCGATCTCTGGTCCGGCACATAAAGCTTCTGAGGTGACGGGGAGAGAGCTTACGAGGCCTCTTGTCCGGCGCCAAGTGAGAGAAATGCCCGGCTAGAGAATCGTCAGCGCTGCCCCGTCGAACGGGGCAGCGCTGAAAAACGTCGGTGGGCTTTCGCTCAGAGGGTTGTAAATGATGGCGCACCCACGCGCATTGACGTGCGGTGTATCTAGGCGTCGGCTTAGACGGCAGGGCGTGTGGCGATAGAAATTCTACACCGCACTTATATATTTCACGCTGGGTAGACGCCGCTGAAGCCTGAGGGATGGCATCTGATGCGTAAGTGGTAAGTCTCGCGTTTGGGGGGGGGGGGGGGGGGCGTGCATACCAACATACGCGTTTTATATGTCACCAAGAATGGCTAAAGAAATAAGCGTGATTGAGGTCTATCGTAACCAAATGTTAAGTTTTCCACTAGAAATGCAACAGCCAGATTGGATCTTTGCACATGCGGTTTGCTTGTTTCTTCATTAACATATTTCCTTCGAATGAATTAAACACACGTGGTAGTTACGCATCATAAACTTTAAATATTGCTGCGTCAAACGACATGCATGTGTTACGCAACTGTAACAAGATGCTTAAAGTAAGGCATAACATGCTCCATAGTCTGTGTCGTCTTAAGCACAATAACGTCAAAATACATTATTGTATCTGTATCTACTAGGTCACGAAGGCTCTTCAAATATATCTTTTTCGCCCTCTGCTCTGTTGTGTTGTGCTCTGTTCCCGGATGTGCTAGTACGCTTTGTGTTCTTTTCAGTCTCTCGATAGCGGAATGCTGAAACTTCTTTTCTGAAGATTTTATGATTTAAGTGCTGCGTTTTTCTTCCCTGGGATGGCAATGCACACACGGTGCATGTGTTATCGGTTAACCGTGCTTTCCACACATGGGACGTGTGTGCACCGTATTACAAGATAGCTATGATGCAATATGAGCTACGTAATCCTTTCAGCACTCAGTTTTTTATCAAGAGTAACTGCTTTGTCCACAGACGATCATGGGTAAAAGCTCAGACGATGTGTATAAACATTGGCATTACACATGTTACCGAGTGATGTGTAACATTGGCTTTGGCATCGCTCAAAAGCAAACTCGGAATCGTCCACAAAGTTACTCTTATGCAATGAAAGCCTAGCCATGCACTAGCGAGTTACTGAGTCGATTTGATGTGCAAGCGTATGCAGAAGATTTCTCCAGCTAAACATCAAAATCCTATATGGATGTTACTGCCAACGCATTGTTTAGAAAAGGCTGATGAAATAATGAGTTTCAACCAGTCACCTGGAAGAGAGAGGTCAGATTCTCTGCGACATCTGGTACTAGCCACCGCTGGCGTCCTTGCCACCGTAACACGTAGATGCATGCATTGCACATGAGATGTATGCATTACACATGAGTTTTGGAATTGCATTATTGCATTGTGCATGAGTGAGAGCGTCGCAGGCGTGATGCCGATCGGGCCACAGTGCTGTGCCCTGCGGCTGTGCTGTGTGCTGTGCCGGCCCCGCCACAGCGCCCCAATCCGAGCTACTCACCGACGCCGCCGGTGCTGTGCCCTGCGGCTGTGCTGTGTGCTGTGCCGGCCCCGCCACAGCGCCCCATCCGAGCTACTCACCGACGCCCGCCAGTACTGTGCCAACGCCCCCTCCGTCGCCACCGATCCTCCTGCCCAGCATCGGGCCGAATCCGCGTCGGAAATCGAAGTCGGTGGACCATGGAGACCGCGGTGGGCGCCGGCTGCTTCCCAGGTGTGTCACTGGTGTGTTTGTTGCCCCGAGCCGCGCCCTAAACTGCGCTTTATTACACCGGCGAGCAGGCTCCCACTACAATTAGCTAATGGCGCGGTACACGGCCGCGGCCAGGGCACAAAAAGACGGGGAGGCGAGGACTGTGATTACATTTGCTGTCCATCACACAAGAAGTAATCACGTGTAGAAGCCCAAGTGCCTCGACTAATTTTGGTAGAGTGCTACTGATGCCCTGATATGGGTGTCAATATCGAACTTTTCTTTGCCTGGAGGCGCCCCGCTAAATGGCCCGCTCTGTGAGGGGCGTGTGCAATCCCGACGGCGGCGGGAGTGAGTGGGAGAGCAGCGCCGGGAACGGAGCGGTCGCGCCCGCCGCTGCCACCAAAGACTGCCGAGGACTTCGCATTTTATCGGCAAAAGTTTACAGAAATCGGTGTGGAACGTCGCTATCGAGTGCGGTGAACGGCTATCGAATGTTCACAGAGCCGGGTCAGACTATGCACACGGGATTGTCAGGCGGGTCAGAGAGCAAGCTTGGAGCGAGTCCGCCGCCCGGGCGGGTCGTCCGCCCGCCGCCGCTGGTCCGGGTCGGCGACCGGCGGCCGGCGGCGGCAGAGGCGGTGCGGGTATGCCCCAGAGCTCTTCCCCTTAGCTCGGGGGCATACGGAGGGGCGGCGGCGGGGGCGGCGGGCGACCCCGCCCCCGCCCGGCCTCGCAGGCCGGCCGCCGGCCGCCGAGGCGCCCGTCACGCGCACGCGGGCGAGGTCAGACGAGGTCAGGCGGGGTCACCGGGGGCGGCAGCACGCCTGCCTCGCGGCCCGCTTCACGCGGCGGCGAGTCCGCCGGCGGCGGCGCAGCGCCATGACACACCGCCTCAGGCTACCCGGCGCGGGTCAACGTCCCCCGTCGACCGCCGCGTGCTCGTAAAGACGACCTGCTGAGCGCGGCGCACGCGACAATGCACGGATAAAGGAGTAAGTAGGCACGGCGCCGCAGCGAGTGCCACACGCCGCCGTCCGTCCGTCTGTAACGCGGCCACGCGCTGCGTCACGGAGACGCGGGCGAGCACGACCAGCGACTCGCGATCGCTGGCAGTCGCGCACAGCGCAAACACAAGCTCTCCGTTGGAGCTGCACACGGCCCAACGAGCCGGTAGAAGTCCTTTGCTGGGGACCTTCCCCGAGCGGAGCAGCTGGCTCCTCCCCGTCGCGGCGCGGCGGTGTCGCTGCCGGCCGTCGCCTCCTCTTTGCCGAGGTCAGGTCACGCGGCGGCGGCTCCGGGGCGGGCTCGCTCGGCGCGGTCGTCGTGCTCCGGCTGGCTAGCGGTCCTGCTCGGCCACCTCCACCGCCAGCAGCGTGGCCTCGCCGCCGCGGCCGTCGGCTAGGGCTCCTTGCCGTCTGTCTGAGGGAGGGCCAGATTCAGCTCGAGGTCGCGGCTCAGGCCACGGAAGTCCCTGCGGCACGGTGGCACGGTCTGGATCGCACGGACTGGTCCCAACGGGGTGGTTAGAGAGCTCGCCTGTCGAGCCAACAAACGTGTTACGGGGCACAAAGGGTGACCCATCACAGCTGGCTTGCCTGCTCAATAAAGCAGGTGGCGGACGGTAGTCATGGAGCTCACACCTGCCACGACACAACACCAAACAGTCACGTCAACAGACGGGACGTGCGCCCAACCGTATACTGAGGTGTGTCGAGTAACCACGTTCACGTCCGTCGCCCACAGAAAAGAGGGTAAAGGATCTTTCAAAGCTCGAACGCAAGGATCTTAGCTATGAGTAAGCACTGATGGAGAATAGTTGCATCGCGTCGGTTCATACCGGCACCGGGTGAAGAGCCGCCAACTGTAAATGTATCCCGCAGCAATGACGCTGAGCTTACAGTGGGTTGTGTTGAGAGGGTAGGTCTGTTAAGGGCCTGGCAACAGAAGTGGTCGGGAGCGATACCAGCATATGTATGTAGTCTCAATTGACGGCAAGATATCGTTTTTCGCTGCAGTATAAACATTTTGCAGAACCATGGAACTAGTCGTTAGCATACGAAAACCTAGGTACAGGCGCCAATAGGTCCGCGAAGTGATATTCATGTGCCACGCATTTTTGGATAAAATAAACAGGGAGAACCCAGCGTGTAAGAAGGATCTACAGTCGTAATAACGCAATTTTTGGCAACGAGCGATCACTTAGATTTCACACTATCCCGTAAGCAGGTTCAAAGCGCCTCACTTCTCACTCATGATTCGCACTTAAACCTTAAACTCAACTACATGTGTTATATGGCTTGCGACAAATCCAAGGATTCTCAACGAAACAAAGCTCCGATTCATCGCTCCCTTCTGACATTAAGCAACGTCAGTTTTGACAGTCTTTAATGTCAACGTCGGTCTTCAGTTTACAATGTCGGTATGCCCTCTGAGTTAAAGCTGGAGAGCGACCACGAGACCCCGATCACTGTCGCCTGGGTCTCACGGAAAGCTCCCGAACGTCAAGCAATCTGCACACAACTGCAACATCACGACACCCGTCACAGCACATGCGTCTCATGGGAGTGGTCAGTGCTGATACCGCCGCCCGTCCGCGCCTGCGCAGTGCGGGCGACGGCGCCCGGCGACAGCAAGCGTCGAGCGGCCTCAGTGTCCGTAGCCTGGGAAATAGTCCGGGCTGGCCAACCTCAGTGTCCTTAGCCCGAGAGACGGTCCGAGCCGGCCACCCTCAGTGTCCGTAGCCCGGGAGACGGTCCGAGCCGGCCACCCGCAGTGTCCGTAGCTCGGGAGACGGTCCGGGCTGACCAGCCTCAGCGTCCATAGCTCGATAGACGGTCCGGGCTGGCCAGCCTCAGTGTCCGTAGCCCGGGACACAGTCCGGGCTGGCCAGCCTCAGTGTCCGTAGCCCGGGAGACAGTCCGGGCCGGCCAGCCTCAGTGTCCGTAGCCCGGGAGACGGTCCGGGCTGGCCAGCCTCAGTGTCCGTAGCCCGGGAGACAGTCCGGGCTGGCCAGCCTCAGTGTCCGTAGCCCGGCAGACAGTCCGGCTGACCAGCCTCAGTGTCCGTAGCCCGGCAGACAGTCCGGGCTGACCAGCCTCAGTGTCCGTAGCCCGGCAGACGATCCGGGCTGGCCACCCTCAGTGTCCGTAGCCCGGCAGACGGTCCGGGCCGGCCAGCCGAGAGGTGGCCGGCCCGTGGCCCGCACGCCAAGTGGCCGGTCAAGCGCGCCGGCACCGCGCGGGCGACCCGTCTGCTGACACGGCCGGGCGCTGTCTGGCGTCCGGTGGACTCTGCTCGGCGCGCACGCCGGTCACCTTCACTGAGGCGATATGTCTTGTGCTCTGAAGGGGCCGGAGTCCGAACCAGCCGCAACACGGCTTCGCTGCTGACTGTTTCAAGACCGCGATAAAAACGTCTGAGAGCGCCGACGAGACCCAGTGACGTCACGTGCTCAGCTGTCAAGAGGAGTTGCGTCATGTTTGCCATTATGCTCCGCAGTCGCCACAGCTGTCTACTGCTCACGTGCAGCGTGCATTTGTGTGACGAGCTGGGACCCCCAGTGCCGCGGGCCGGGCGTGCGGGCCTCCGTGAGCTACGGCCATGTCGTGAGCGCTGATGAAGGCTGTTTGTTGCCGCACTGTGTGCGGCCGTGATGCGGCGTGCATCGCAGCGCGCGGAGGGCCGCCACAGCGCTTCAGGCCGTTCAGGGCCACTTAGCTCGCGCGCAGGTCAGCGGGAGATGTTGGCGGTGTGAGATGCGACTCGACCTCGTCGGGGTCGAATCTGATTCCTGCTAACTTGCGGACCACTTGTACAAATAACGGGTAACACAGCGAGAATGGTGCGCGTGTATTTTCGACAGTTGATGTTTTTGGTCACATTGGTTCGCTTCACGTAAATATGGTTTGGCAGGGATTTCATTTAGTAAATAATCTGAAACGAACGGAAATTGGATAAACCGGGACAAAACGCGTGGTTTGGCACGGACAATTATGATACTGCCTTATTTTTTGTTTCTCCTCGAAGACGTTTTTGTTGTGCCGCATGCACATATCCGTCATTTTAAGTTTGCAGTTCTTTATAATTTGGCCCCATGAAACCAATATACAACCGTGGAATGACAATGGTCCATCACGATAAAAACAACGCTTTCAGAGCGATGTTTGCGAGACATTGTGACAGTCCTGACGACAAACGATGAGCTCCCATCGCCCTCGTGTATTCCGGCATGTTATATGTGGCACCGAGTTTGGTTCCCGTTTAATAAAGCAAACGCGAGGAGAGCTGCTCTGGATTGATTGGACCAATCATGGCAGCCCGTGGGAAAATACCCGACAGTCGGCATCACTAGCTTTTGTCCTGGCTCTGTCACTCTAAAGGGACAGCAAAAAAAAAACACCCCGTGTTTGCCTTCGTCGCCGAATAAATGCATCGCTGCTCGCTGGTCACCTGCCTCCTAGCCGTCCAGCTCCGTAGCATGGTCTGCGCGGAGACATACTATGACCCTGCGCATGGACTGGTGTACCGCTGTGCGCTGCCCGACTCGATTCCGTTAGCTGGTCGCATTTAAGCAATAATACGTACTGCGCTGACGGCACCGCCAGATGGTTAACCCGCCGACGGGCACGTGCAGCGTTACCGAGTGTCACTGCGATGTGTTCTCACGCGACAGTATCGACTGTCGCATGTGGCGTGTCACTGTTAAGCAATCGACCAATTCCGAATGCCTCATAAATGTAGAATGGCGGGGAAATGATGATGTTTTTCAAGTGGATTATTCATTCCACGTGATTGCCCGTCTGCATGTCGTGCCTCCTGTTCACACCGAACGTGAGCGACCCGCGCTGTAAATACGTGGGAACCCACGATCTTCCCACGCCCGCGGGCGCCGACCCCGCGACCCCGGCGAAGTGAACGGGTCGGTGCTGGGTCGTCCGCCAGCCCCGCAGCATGCCCTCCGCTCCCGCGGGTGGAGCGATAGGGGTGGAGCAGCGCGCGCGGCCCTCCGCTGGGACCGCGATTGACGGTCTGCCGAAGGATCGGTCCCAGGGGCTCGGCCGAGCGCGCCGCCGGCGGAGGAGGCGCGCGGAGCGCCGGCGGCGAGGAGGCACCGCCGGCGGAGGAGGGGCGCGGAGCGCCGGCGGCGAGGAGGCGCCTCCGGAGGAGCCAGCGGCGGGGAAGGAGGCACGTACGGAGGGCCTAGCGGCGGGGAAGGAAGCAGGTCGGGGAAGAAGGCACGTATGGAGAGTCAGCGACGGGGAGGGGTGTGCTCCCCGACCCGGTGCGGGTGAGTGGGGAACGCACAGTGGTGGTCTCCAGTGGTCTCCAGTCAGACCGGGCACGGGCGGCGGGAACATGACAGAATATTGAGTTCAAAGATGTTTTGGCAATTGCGTAGACAAGACGTGTGAGATCAATATCTCCGCAAGAAACTACGAAAACAATGCAGAATAATCTTCCTGCTTCGTGGTTCATTGTTTACGTTTTCCGCACAATGGAATCGACACAACCGAGATAAGTAAGCCGGCGAATGTGCGGAAATCGTTCGCCAAATCATCCTGGAGCGGAAATAATGGAGTGTGGGCCCTAATTAACGTAATGGGATCACTCCGATGTAAACAAGCTGGAAATAATCAGTAAATGGCATGCACTACTAGTGGTAGTCAATCAGCATCGACACTGGTCCGGTACGCGACGCGGGTTAGTTTCCATGAGTATGGACGCAGCTCGAAACTGGTTGCTCTGTCGTGACCTTGTTTGATGGGAATCAGACCATTGCTGGGGCAGCGCCCCACAGGGGTCTCCTGAGCAGCGTCACGCTCGAGGGTATGGGTACCGTGCGCGCGTGCTCCCCTATACATTTTGTACGTGCATCAATATTTATGAAAATAAATACATGCAATTAAAAATCCAGAATAGGAATTTCCCGACTAACGCAGGGGACTTATTAATACAGCAAAGCCCCCTCCCAATCGCAAAAAGCCTTCCTGTGCCATTAAAAGATCTCTTAATGCGTAGAGGTGCCTCGCCTCGTTCCGGCCTCGGCCCGTGCAGCGCTTGTATTTTATTTTATATGCATTTTACGACTGGATGGAGCCCTTCTTTTTGTTGAGATGTGCAACAATCGTAGCGGAAAAACGCTGTAATCAACATTTGGCTCGTCCCAGATTTGTCACCAATCTCACACTATGTGGCATTTGTCGCAACTGCGTTGTGAGGGGTTTCCCACCTTTTGTTTTACCAGAAGGAGGTTTCCTTCCCACCTTAAAATGTGTCCAGCTTTCCCTGACGACCGGGCGATGTTGAAGTGGCTCGGTCCAAAGTGGCGGCAGTCGCAGGTTTCGCGCTAAGCGCGCGCGTCACGTTACGGTCGGCATTCATCTGCGCTTTACATCGTCAAGTGGTGTTCGATTATGCTGTATAGGGTCAGCCATGGGAACAAAGCTAGTCTCAGCTTCACGTGCGCCGCACCGCATTGCCCTTCATGACTTCGGGTGTGGCTTCCACTTGTGCCATTTGTCACGACTGGCTTCTTTCCTGTCATTTTTAACACATGACTGTAGCCTTCGGCTTCGAACAACGTCTGAACTGTGGCAGGCCTAAAACGCGAGCTCTGTCTGCGCCTCGCTGCCTTGCCTCGTGCGATCTTGAACTGCTGTGTAAGGCTTGGCCATATGAACTTTCACTGCAGTTGCGACTCCACTTCAAGCAAAACTTGCGTGTCTGTCTTGTCATTCCAGCTTTCTTACCAAACGACTTTTCGAGGCTGTGACACATACATGCTGAAAGCCAAACACCAGCCCGCCATGCTCAGCATCAACTGACACCTGAAGACGGCCGGGGACAAACTATCCAAAGCGGTCCGTGTATTCTAGTATACAGGACGAGGACGACAGCTCGAACAACTTTTCCACCCACATTGCTAACACCTCGTCTGAGTTCCTTCGTAACAACCATGATGATACCTTTTGTTTTCATAGAGGCTTAGTAGACGCGAAAATGGTTTTAGCTTCACACATCAAGGTTGTGCCTACGCTATATTCGACTTCAGCTCCCGCCTCATGATTTCAAACTTATGGTCGGCTCAGGCTTCGCATTTTTCACCCTCGAAGCTGTTGGCTTGCATTCCGCTCAAGGTTTGGGACCGCTGGCTTCGGCCCGGACCCACGTGTTAAAGCTTGAAAGCATTTGCTGAAAGGTCTATTCATTACGGGGGCCTATTTTGCATCAAGTTGGACTATAGAGGCACGCCCTTGATCTGGCTAGAATATTTTTTTCGTTATTTCGCTCCTTAATCCATTGACATCAAAATCGGCGAAAAACAAGTAGGTGCGCATCGAACTCAAAGCTTTTTTGTACCGAAAATTTTCCATCGAACAGAACTTTGCTTGTGAGTACGTGACCACGCATTGTAATAATGTATAGGTACAGCATCGTGTAGAAAAGTTATCCAGCTTTCATTTTATGTTCATTATATTGATATACCCGGCTGGATGACTTTTTAGGTTAGATGAAGCCTTGGCTTCCGTAGATCTTCCGAAATAAAGTCCTCGTACGTGTTTACATGAAAAGCAAAAATGCACGCGTCTGGCTTTTTTCGCTGCTCAATTTGACAGCTTCGTCAGCCCATGAGTAGACTTTTGTCGCCCAAACATGACACGAACCATATTTTTACAAGGTCAGGCCTGGTCAGGTCACGATGAGTTTTGTGATGTTTTAGCTGAAATCTTCACTTCTGAGCTTGTCACGGCCAATGATTGATCGCAACGGGCTTCTGCAGGCTTGCAGTTCCGTTTCTTATTCCGAATCTTTCCTCTGCGCGTCACTTGTACGGACTGATCCGGAGGCGGCTTTGATGGCAAATGTGGCACAAAATGGTGGCAATATTTGTTGTGCTGTGCTGCACATCTCACAACGAAATAGCAGCATAAGCGTAGAGAGGCCAAAGCATTCTGTCTCTATTAACTGGCAGACTGAGACTTCGCGTTAAGACAATAACCTACCAGATCCTGTCTTTAAGTATGTCACGTTCGAGAGCGTTCTAACATGTTCTACTGATTTTTCAGTAGAGCAAATTTTCTACTGATTGTTCTACTGCCTGTCGCTAGATCCAAGGGCAGCTGGAAAGAAAAGCTAAAAAACTTGACGCTTCATGGGTGATTTGGTGCCTCCTATTGAGGTGGGTAGTTGATCAATCAAACAGATCTCGACAGCCGACCTTAACGTTGGCGACTGGCTTTCATTTTGCCGATTGGCTAGCCTCGGCTATTCACTATCCGTGTTTATGTTATGGCGGCTAAGGCAAGGAGTATCCGGGCTCAATGCTTTTAGATCCTGATCCTGCAGGAATGAAGAAGCTGGCTGGGTGCGGCAGCAAAAACAGATACCCCACAGATGCGGCTGCATGAACACGTATTGTGCAGGTGCAGCTGCATACACGGATGCCAGAACACAGCTGCAGGCGCCAGGCCCCGTCGGCTGCCGCGGCCGCAGGTGCGGGTGCAGGTAGTGCCGGGTGCAGGCGCGGGTGCGGGCACCGCCGGGGCAGCATCGGTGCGAGCGGCTCACTAACTGGGTCGGCGTGGCGTTCCGGCGGCTGGGCGGGCGGCGGGCCGCCGATCGTACCGGAGTCGGGCGAGACGCGGCCGTCGCCCTCCTGCGGGTGGGCCATGTCGATGGAGCCGCGCGAGCCGCGCGAGCCGCCGGCGCCGCGCGACCCCGTCGCCGACTTCTTGCCCTGCTGGCCCTTCAGGAACGAGGTGTTCATGAGCCGCGGGTTGGCCGAATTCAGGATGGTGCGGTTCTGCCGGAAGCGCGCCCTGCAACGGGAAATCGGATGAGCTGCGGTCAGGTCAGATTCAGTCGGACCACCCGGAGTCGGGTCACTCGGGGTCGGGTCAATCGAGGTGAGTGCACTCGAGGTCGAGTCACTCAAGGTCGAGTCACTTGGGGTCGGGTCACTTGGGGTCGGGGCACTTGGGGTCGGGGCACTTAGGGTCGGGTCACTCGGGGTCGGGACATTCAAGGTCTGGGCACACGGGGTTCGGGCAGTGGTGGTCGGGGTACTCGGGATCGGTCACTCGTCGTCGGGTCACTCGAGGTCGGGGCACTCGGGTCAGGTCACTCGAGGCTGCGGCACTCGGGGTCGGATCACTCGGGGTCGGGTCACTCGGGGTCGGGTCACTCGGGGCCGTGACACTCGGGGTCGTGACACTCGGGGCCGGATCACTCGGAGTCGGATCACTCGGAGTCGGATCACTCGGGGTCGGGACACTCGACGTCGCGGCACTCGGGGTCACGACCACGCAACCTGGGCCTTGTGCGATGAAGAACGAGCAAGAACAACGAAGATCCTTTGTTAACTCGCGAGCAGGCCAGCCGGGCGGAGCGGTTAAGGCAGTAGATAATGCCGAGAACGACCACAGCAGACCGAAGGCCAAACAAGACGCCCGACGCAATTGCAGGGGAGGTGATCAGCCTCGAAGGTGAGCTGCCTTTCAATTTACACGGCGATGGCAACCGGGGCGGTCTAGCGACCCGGCAGCGATACACCAATCTACGCTGGGGCCATTACACGGCAGGTCGCCGTCAAGGGCGGCTCGGCAAGAAACATATCGGCCGTGACATACCTCACCCTCCCAATCCATCAGCACGGTGTGCATGGCGATAGGTGAAATTAGAAATAAATAAACCAGAAGCTGTGGATCGGTCGCGCTGTCATATGCAACAAAGATTGCATGCAACCTATTTTGAGGAAATGACACTTCGCCTTGGAGTGCGATACACTTGATGTGTTTCCGAATGTAAAGCTGATTTTGCTGGTGTATCTTATAGTAGTTTTCCAGCGCCCATGACGGAAACTTTCCCAGTCTCTCTCTCTCTCTCTCTCTCTCTCTCTCTCTCTCTCTCTCTCTCTCTCCTCTCTCTCTCTCTCTCTCTCTCTCTCTCTCTCTCTCTCTCTCTCTCTCTCTCTCTCTCTCTCTCTCTCTCTCTCTCTCTCTCTCTCTCTTCTCTCTCTCTCTCTCTCTCTCTCTCTCTCTCTCTCTCTCTCTCTCTCTCTCTCTCTCTCTCTCTCCTCTCCTCTCTCTTCTCTCTCTCTCTCTTCTCTCCTCTCTCTCTCTCTCTCTCTCTCTCTCTCTCTCTCTCTCTTCTCTCTCTATCTCTCTCTCTCTCTCTCTCTCTCTCTCTCTCTCTTCTCTCTCTCTCTCTCCTATCTCTCTCTCTCTCTCTATCTCTCTCTCTCTCTCTCTCTCTCTCTCTCTCTCTCTCTCTCTCTCTCTCTCTCTCTCTCTCTCTCTCTCTCTCTCTCTCTCTCTCTCTCTCTCTCTCTCTCTCTCTCTCTCTCTCTCTCTCTCTCTCTCTCTCTCTCTCTCTCTCTCTCTCTCTCTCTCTCTCTCTCTCTCTCTCTCTCTCTCTCTCTCTCTCTCTCTCTCTCTCTCTCTCTCTCTCTCTCTCTCTCTCTCTCTCTCTCTCTCTCTCTCTCTCTCTCTCTCTCTCTCTCTCTCTCTCTCCCTTTTTTCCACTTTCTCTGTCACTCTCTTTCTCTTCATCCCTCTTTCTCTCCCTCCGTCTTTTTTTGCATCTTTCTCTCCCTTCCTTCCCCTCTCCGACAACGCTGTTTACTGAGGCGTTACATTCTCAGACTCGCTACGCCATGGTATGCGCTTTACGCAATGCACAATTCAAATTAATGGTTGCAAGATAGCTCTGCCATGAATTTGAATAATTGACATGAAACGCTCCTAGCCGCAATAGCCGCAGCGATAGCGGCGTGTGGCCGGCGCGGCCAAAGCACTCGGGCCCGCACGCCACCGTGGACGACGTCGACATGGGACGAGGCCTGCCTGACCTCCGACCGCCGCCCCTGATTGACCGCCGTCACTGTCTCTGATCACGCTTCGAGGGCCCCAGCCGTCGGATCGACCCCGTGCCTGCCGCGCCGCCGGCACGGTGGGAAACGACCCGCGGGCCCGGAGGTCACCCGCGCCGCGGCTGACCGCTCGCCGCCGCCCGGACGTCCGCCGCCGTTGACCGGGAGGGGGGGGGGACTCGGGCCGACCCGGCTGGCCGTCATGGGGACCGGGGGCGGGGTGGTGACCCGGGACACGCGATGATGAGCACGAGGGGGCGGTGGCGGGACATCAGGGCCGCTCGTGACCCGGCTGACTGGGTGACCCGGGGAGGGGGGGGGGGGAGTCAGTAAGTGGCATTCAGCGCCGCCGCGGCGGTATAGAGTTAGTTCCGGGGATCATGGCGACTCACGAGGTACGGGCGGTCCCCGACTTACGGTCAAATTTCCCGAGCTCTTTGAGGCCATTAAAGGCAATGATGCGGTGCCAGGACATTTTCTTAGTATTTGCCACCAGCCAAACACTTCTAAAAATCAGCTTTCAGTTTTCAGTGATGTCCCCTGTGTTTTGACTGTACAGCATGGTTACAACAATTAGTGGAAACAATTACGAATGTTGCCTTATAAACGCATAGTAATGATGACACTTTTACTACGTTATGTTGGAATCGCTCGTACCTATGCTAAGTTGCTAGCGCATGAATGAATGCAAACAATTTTTGCTGGAAAAACGATTCAACGAATGCTGCAGCAAGGCCTTCCAATGACAACACAATCACGACCATTTAAGGACTGACACGTGCTTTCAAAAACGCGGGCCAAGCCATTCCCAACAGACTGGAATCATACACAGAAGAGCGCACTGAGCCACTTGTGCTGTGAAAGTTTGTACTTAATTGGCTTATTACTGAGTGGTATTCAGCGCAGCGCCACAGCCAACTGCAAAATAAGCAATTAAGTAAGTTCACATATCAACTGATTAATACAAGCCAAGACCCAAGTTATGCGACTTAAATAAGTTAATTATATGAACTGATTAAAACCAACCGAGGCGTAGCTTAAACGACTTAAGTAAGTTCATCATATCAGCTGATTAATACAGAATGATAATGTAGTTAGGCGAATTAAAGGTAAAAATGCACGATGCCATTCCTCTTTCAATTATAGAGATATGGACCGAGAGGATGGGGTGAGGGGGTGTCACAATCCATCAAAACGGAACAAACTGCACCAAATTGCATTGACACATGAGCCAAACCATCGACGCCATTTCTCATGTTACCCTCCAGCATACCCAGCGTTAGGGCTGTTGGAGCGGCACACAGCGAGAGCACCATCACACGTCAGAGGATCACCAGCCGGCTTACTTGCTGAAGAGCTGAAGCACGATACAGATGATGAGGAACATCAGCACCAGGGACACCAGAATTCCAATCATTACTGGATCAACGGGGGTCTTCTGGGCATCACTGGCTGAAACGGAGACGTTTAGGGTCTTTTCAGTGCAACACATTCACATGGCGTGGCAGAATAGCGTTGAAGACAAGTCTCGCTATCCCGTGAAACACTTGATTCATTCAGCCAAGTGCACCGTGCTTCCCGTTACCAGATTTCGACACTTTGGGACCATAAAACGACCGCGTGATCAACACAAACAAAACTTTTCCAATGAAATGAAAATTGTCAAACATTGCGCAATGTTTATTTCAGTCCCTTTATGTTCACTCTTTTGCCTGAAGCAGAGCTACAAGACTTTTCACTTTGATGTGCACTGCATCTGGTACGTTCACCATCGACACTCTATGCGATCCATACTGAAGTGGAGGCCAACAACCAGGCTAGGCGCAACATCGCGTCCGACTGTCTGGTGCCCCCGAGGCTCGGCTGGCTAGAGCGTCGCGCGCTGCCAACCGGCGTGTGGCAGACGTGAGCTAACGCGTCCGAAAACCGCGATGTTGTGACTGGTCATTGACCACTCATTGGCAAACTGCCAGAAAAGATATACTGAAACAGAGGACACCGTGCCACGGCATTGTGCTGTACACTGAAGTCTCTCAAAAAAGTGTGCGTTGAAATCGATTTAGTCGAGTGGGGGGGGGGGAGGGGGGGAGGGAGGGGGGGGGGGGTCATCCCGGCAGCGAGCGACCTGCGACAAGCCAAGCGGCGGATCTAATCCCACAGCCACCCTGCAAAACTCGGTCACGCTTCTTTACGAAAGGTGTCAAGGACACGTACATGGACACGTTAACCACTGGCTTTGTTCTTGCAATAACGTTTTTTTCTATTACTTTGTCTGGATGTGCTTGGGCAGTTTGCCATGGCTTAATGACTCAACTGCTGTAAATAATCCCCAATAAGCAGAAAGGCAGGCGAAAAACTTTGGCTAGAGTGGTAATTGCTGGGGGCAGTACGCAGCGTCCTGTTTTGGGAACCCATGTATTTTTTATCACAAGATGCCATCTGCATCGGTGTCAAAACGCTGGCGTGATGGACGAATGAGTTATTTATGTCGCGTGCTTCAAACGAGAGTGGTGGGCCGCATCGAGGTTGGGGGAGCAGTCGCATTGCTGCAAATTCCGAACAAGCCGGAGCAGGGCCACAGGCATCTAGTGCACCGTTTTGATAGCCGTTGTGTAAAAGAACGAAATTGAGATATTTTAATCAAATTAGCATTTTATTTAAAATGAAAATGAAAGTAAAAATAGGACGTGAATGGTCGTGTTAAAGTTTACGTGTAGCTTAGATACAGGCTACTGGATACGTGCACAAATAAGCTTCCAAGCTTGCTATGCGGTTATCTTAACCGCTCAGTCTGTTATATTAGCATTGTGTCAACCTTAGGTTACCACGGTATTGCATATCCTAATATGGTTTGTCTCGTAGACAATATTAACAAGGCCAGTCTTTGAAAGCTACGCTCGATTTGCTCTGGTCTGTTCAAGGTAATCGGAAAAGGCACGCGTGTCACCAATTCCAGAAGAGACTTATATAAATTTGCATATATACATATAAATACATGTATGAGTATCAGATGGTTGCAAATGTCTGGTAGCGTTCGCCTGGGGCATGGAATAATCAGAATATTTAAAAGATGTGGTCTAAGACATCTGGATAAGCCATGTTAAAATTCCAAGTCACGCAATGCCGTTCATAATTAATGCAAATAGTGCACCCTTCTCTTTTCATCACTGCATGACCGGAAAGCACTGTCCAAACGGACTATTGCACTGCGCTGCTTAAGGTGGGCATCCAGCGTTCATCATTTGGAAGCATCACAGAACACCACGCGCTTTCATTGACCAGAAAACACCAAGCACTGTATCGAGGCGCACTGGCAGCGCCGCTGCCGCGCGCTTCCGCCGCGCAAACGACGTCGGCAGGTGTCGCCAGGTGTCGCCAGCTCCGCCGACGGCCGGCGCCGGCCGCTCGTCACAGCCGAGCGCCGATCGCGGCCGCCCAAATGACCGGCAGCCGACCGGCGCCGCGCCTCGACCAGCCTCTCATCCGATGAGCGGCCTCCCAGCGGGACCGCGGCGCAAATTACCCGCCAAAGGTCGCCGCCCAAGTGTGTAAAGTTGACAGCGTCGCGCCGTTGGTCGCCGGTCCGCGGCGCTAAAAGTTGCAGCGTCGGGACGCGGCGTCCCGTGGCGCGGAGGTGAGGCGAGGTCCAGGACAGCCGGTGCGGGGCGGGGTGCGGACGTCCGCGGGGCGGGGGTGCGGTTGGGTCAGGTATTGGGTCGGGGTCAAACTTGAGATTTTGCCGGGTTTTCAGGCGTCATGTGCTCGACTGAAAGGGATGTTTGAAGATCGATTGTTTCAAACGCGACCAGCTGATAGCTCTCCCCGTGTCAAGCTTATTCACCGTGAAGAAGTCTCGGAAAGCACTTGGAAAGAATACGAGGAGAGCTTGTGGGTCCGACCACACAAGTTCACATCTCATTCCATTTTGCGACGGAGCCGCACAAAGCGCCGTGGAACTTCCGCGTCCAACTTCCCGGACGCGCTGAGTCCGCCGCCGACCCGCCTTCAACCTGTCACGTCCCGTCACTTCTCTCAGCACAAAGCCGTCGTGTCACAGGCGGCCGCGGCCGGGCCGCCCGTGCGGACTCGGCTTTACCGGGCGATTACGCTAACGATTCACGAGGCCGCGGCATGAATTTATGATGCTGTTTATTCGGAGCAAAAGCGCAGTTGGCGCTAACGAGTAGGCCGGTGGTGGGCGGGTCGTCGGTCGGCCGCGTCGGGGAGGGCAGCGGCGTGACTCTCGGGCCGGCGAGCTCATCCCAGCCTCATCTCCACGCGCCTGGGGCACACTCCTCGTCCGTGTGACGTCACGCCATCACGTGCTGATGTGCCGCCGGCATCGGATCGCGTACGCCATCTTTCGACTCGGCTAGAGGTGACCAGCCGCCGCCCCAGTCGCATGCTTCAGGAAGAGCCCGGGCTTAAGTGGTTGTCGTGTTGTCTTTCCGGTCGATTAGCCGCGTGGCGTGGCTTGCGACGCTGCTCGCTGGCGCGGCGGAGTGCCGTTTGGTGCCGCGGCTCGTCCGCGCTATGTGGCGTGATAGATGATGCGACACGGCCAGCAGTGCCCCGCGGGACCTGCGGCCAGACAGACCGGATCCCGGCCCTTGAGCAGGCTCCGGCGTGTGGTCGTTTCTCAGTAGGCCTGTGCTTGGGAAATACATGGGCGTTCCTACCCAGTGTCTTTGACAAAGGAACTCTAGGGTGTGTTTACAGATTTGGTCCAAACCTTTTGAATAAGTGGATTCCTGGGATCAGAGCTCACGCTAAGCAGTGCTAAGCAGTGCTTGTTGTGTGAGCCCTAGCCCCTGCTATCTGATCGTGAAGTTCCGGGTCTGGCAAAATGTGGTGACGAAAGTCTAACGTTGTGTAATGTCCGGCACGGTTCATCCTTTCCTCTGACGTCACCTGGCCTTTATCGCGGTCGCTACCACCGGCAGCAGGCCATGCCTGTCAAGGACAAATAGCGAGCACCTAAAGCGACTCGAACCCGCCCCGCCACGGGTGTATGAATCGGAAGGCAGACGCTCTAACCAACTGAGCTTCCGAGAAAGACAACGTACTGCAGTTTGTGTTGCAATGGCACCGGGTAACATTGCCCGCAGTGTACCCATGGCCGGCAGGCAGTCTCCAATGTTCATACCGATAAAGTTTGGCAGGCCGCCAAGAGCTTTTGCAAGACGTCACGGACGTCAGAAGAGGCGCCTTCCCCTGGGCCGGAGTGCAGCGCGTTGGTGCATCACTTCTGGCCAGTTGTATAATGCAAGTACTTGATGTTGCGGTGCATGTTTACGTACAGCTGATGTGCTGATTCCTCATGCGCCCACTTCGTGGCGCCCTGGTCAGTGCTCTTGCTCTGTAAATATATGTTCCGAGCAGCCTCGTGCGTCTCCACTTCCAGCCAGCAGACCGTCTTATTTGCCTCGAACTTTTCTAAAACTCTTGTTTGCTTGGCATGATCGTGAGCTGGAGCACTGCGCTCTCCATTTCGTCGGTGTAATGGAGCGTAGGCTCCACTGAACCCCACATCTAGGTGACAACGACGGCTGAGAACGACAAATGACAGCGATACTCCAGCGACCCGACAGTAATGTCAACTTAAACGGCATTGCACCTGCCCCAGCCAGACCTCAGTTGATTGTACCACCTGGAATGGAATGTCTGGAACGAAAATGCTGCCGCCATGGCGATGCAGAAAAAGCGGACCGCTACGCGGGCACGCGTGTCGGTCGATGCGGGCAACTGCGGACAGTCACGCGCATCCGTGTGCGAACCATAGGTCCAAACGCTCCACCCGTTTAGAGTGCTTTTCAAGGATTGTGATCACGCTTTTAGCAACCAGAACAAATGAAGACAGTAAGCCAGGTGCACGGTATGCATGAACGTGCCGCTGCCGCTCACAGGGAGATCTTCAGACGGTTCAGCCCATGGGCTTTCCTGTGATCGACCGGGCAACGCCCATTATGACTATGCCCGAAATACCTCCCGAATGACAAGGTCCTGTGGCTAAAACCAAAAAGATTGCGGCATGAAAACTGCACAGACGTGCAATCGTGTTTATTGTGATCAGCACCACGAAAATATTTTCGTGAAAATGATAACGTTTGGAAAACCATAGAATGCATGCATTTCCTCGATTAGCATTGCCAAGCATGACGGGACTGGAGCCAATCGTTTTCTGAACAGCCCATCCGTGCAAATTGTTAGTGCATTTACAAGAAACATCGTGCATATAAATAAGACGATATAGTTAGCCTTACTTCTCGTAAAAAACAGGAACAAGGTCATAACGTCATTAAATCTAAGTTCTACCATCCACCAAATTAGCTACCTCTCCTTTCTCCTGGTTATTCGGCAAGGAATAAGGCCAACTGATTTACGGATCGGCGCGCGGATGCTGCATCTGTGCACCTCCGTCTGCTAGATGTGTATGAAAGGCAGATGACACATATTGGCATCGGCTGCCGAGGCTGTTTTGCTTGACTAAATCACCTTTCAACATCAACTCCTGGCAACTTAGGCGTTTCTCTTCGCCAATGCCACATCGCACTGGGCGGTTAACTGGTGCCGAACTAGCCGCCATCTTGTCTGTGACATTAAGCACTGATGAGTTCAGCACGGCCTGGAATGGCTCGCCCATCGCGACGCAATCGCGTTCGTGTACGCAGCAGTAAAATGTGATGGGCGTTTGCTGTCATCGGTTTATATGGGTGTGTCTGCTCAGCCCAATGGCTGCGTTGAATGGGATGAGACTTCTGCCACCAGCACAAATGACTGTGGAACGCCCTCACTGTGACAGAGAGAAGCGTCTGTCAAACCACGACTCCCATGCTCAGTTCGCACATCAACTTCACTGAGGTCCATAAGGCTGGAAGGTTGCGGTCATATGATTTTCCCCATATGTTTAAGAGTACGTTAAAACAAGTCTGAAGCAGTATGCAAACTTTGTGATTGATCAGAGCTGAAAACAGCTCTACCCCTAGCAAATAAGAGCAGTTTAGGTAGCAGTGTTTTGCAGCAGATACCACCAAATAATGAAAAGCTAAAGCAGCATTTGAAGCGCTGAATTTCCATACGCAAGGAAGCTATACTCATCAGGTACTCCATTGGTAGTCGAAGACGAAATTTGAAATTTTGTTCGAGATGCGGATGTTCCCGTAAGTAAAAAGCCAAGTGGCTGGCGTTCCAGTACTCCACGTCTAACCTGCGCCATATCTTGAGTTTCCTCGTGCTGACGGCGCGGCGGCGCGATGAGGTCGCGGCCCGTTGATGGCATGGCCGCATGAACGCTTATGGGGACCGTTGACGAGCTTGTGTGCGTTTGTGCTGTTGCCGTGCTGCATGCTATACCTTATTTAAGCCGGAAAATGACGCAGCATTCTATGCAACTTGTAGGCGTTCTTGCTTTTGCAGGGCTCCTTCACTTCAAAAAATCGCTCGAACCACTTAAATGCTTTCAAAACCTCAAGGAAAGTGAATATCTAAGCTACATTTTTCGAAACATTTTCAACTGCCTGCAAACTGCATGCAAAAACATCTACCCATTCGGAGGACGCTGTCAGTGCCTATCCCCGGGCGAAGATGGAAGGCCCCCGACGGGCGCAGCACCGACGCTGTTCTCCACCAGGCTCGAGGCGTTGGGCCCGTCAATAGATAGGAAGTGGCGTCCCGAGGGTCCCATCAGGCGCTGGTGGGCGCACTCCCAAACTCGCGCGTGCGCCCGCCCGTACCAGGCCGCAGCAGACCAGACCAAAACGGACCAGGCCAGACCAAAGCGGACCGGACCGGGCCACTTACTGTGCCCGGGCTTTGGGAGGCAGCAGGCATCGCCACAGCAGACCAGAACAAAACGGACCAGGCCTGACCACAGTAGCCCGGACCGGACCACTTACTGTGCCCGGGCTCTGGGAGGCAGCGGGCATCGCCATCCGAGTACTCGTGTCTGTAGTGTTTGGCCCGGCAGGTGCACTTGCCGTCCACGCAGTCGGCCGTCCCCTGAGGTCGACACTGCGCCGTGATGGTGCAGTTGCCGTCCGCCGACCTGCAACGCTTGCAACACACGGTCACACGGTCACACTGCAAACACGCCAACACACCGCGTCCAAAACACGGCGACACACGGTCAGCGGTCACACTGCAACACACGGCCAGCGCAACACACGGTCAGCGGTCACACTGCAACCACGCCCGCCAACACTTCGGTCACAGCACACGCAACACACGTGTCAGCGGTCAACGAACGGCCACATGGCAACACGTTGGGTGTCACACTGCAACCGAGGGCTTGTGGTTGCGCGGTAACAACGGCCGGCGGTTACGCTGCGACAGAAGGCCAGCTGTCACAGATGAGCAGAAGATCAGCTGTTACCCCGCAACAGACGGCGAGAGGCCACACCGTCGGAGACCGCCAGCGCCACGTGGCAACAGTCAGTCGGTGTTTACACTGCGACAGACAGGCGGTGTTTGCACCGCGCCACGGCTATTGGCCACATAACGGCACAATGGCGATGGTCACGTGACAAAGACGGTCAGCTGTCGCACTGCAAAAGACGGCCAGAGCTCACACTGGAATGGGACGTCGGTGATTATACTCGAACAGACGGTGAGTTGGCTGGACAGTGGTTAAGCCACAAATGAAGATAAGTGATAGCAACGTACTGAAGCATTTACGACACGGAGGTGCAGGATGGATGTGGTACAATTGTGCAATAAGTTCTCCACGTTCGAAGAATCGGATGTCTTTTGCTATCGTGTGACTGGTTCTTTTGTCATTTGTTGACGTCTGCTCGACTAATGTGTCATTAAGCTAGTGCGTCGGAATTGTTTGGTACTCACGTTCTCTCAAGAGGTGGACCAAGTTAGAAACTCTACAATCATCCGTTTAAAAATCCACAGGGAAGGAACTTTTGCGTGCTGACATACGGGACATTTCGAAGCCTGGCCGAAATCATTCAAGCTTTAGTTTTGGAACGGTAGCTTGTTAGTCGGTTGAAATTACGCTCGGGCACCCGTCGGTCGCGGAACATGTAAGTTTAGCTCTCCCACTGTAGGCTCCACAACCCACACCACCACTGCAGGTTGGATCTGACTGTCATCACGCAAGGCGTAAGAACCTACATACTGTGTTTGCAATATTCCGCCACGTTATCGCCATTGGCGTTTTTCGATCAAATCAGCCTTCGCCGGGCGGGAACGGTTTTACTCTTGCGGCAGTCAGGTTACACGGTGGTAGGCGTAACCATTGTAGCCATTTTGTCTCTAATTAAGTCGCAGACATGAAAGAGGACCGGAGATCGTTTAACCTTCGCCGGTGGAGGCGGGCTGAAAAGGCCCATGAGAGACCTTTCCAGGAATAGCTTTACAACCATGGAACGTACGACACTGAAATTAGGAGCGGGTAGATCCTCATCATTCCTTGACATTCTGAAAAGATTTAGGCATTCACATCATGTAAAAGCTTCACGCTTGATCCTTTCATAAGCGACGAGTTCTTGACGTCTAGTCCAAGCAGGTGCCTGTAATCTGCGTTCAGATGTGCAATAATGCACGCTTGTTATACAATGTATGCTCTAAAAGACTTCCTGCATTTATCTGCCTGGTATTTTTGAAGTAGATGATAACGCGTTTACATAAATGTTATCATGGCTAGACATCAAGGTCAAATCGGGCCAAGTGCATCAAATTACATTTGTTTACGAGAATGGCTTTTCAACTGTCTCAGTAGTTAAGATTCCGTTTCACAGCCGCCGCATGCTGAGTCCTGAGGGTCCGAGATCGTACCTAGCCGGATCCGGTGGTGGTCTGCGATGGGATGGAGCCGTGGCTTGAGCCGTCTAATCTAACTGGACAGGTCACAGTGCACACTCGATGATCAGTTATTGTATCTGCAGGATTCAGAGTGTCACGAGTTGCGCAGGGTCACTTTGTCTGCTGCCAGCAAGCCTACCTCCGAGGACAGAAGGAGGCCTTCTTTCATTAATTTTGCTTGCTTGACGCGATTTAAAGCATGAGAGATCGCTTGCGCTCATGTGCAGTGACACTCATCTGGCGCTGGTACGCGCGGACTATCCCATGTCAATTTCCTCTTGATTTTAGCCTGTTTGGTTTCCGAGACAGCAGGGCGGCTGCTCCAGGCGCCCCTGATGCTAAAACAGATGTTCGTCTGACAAAGGCCAATGCGTCATAAACGCAGCCGTGCACAGTCTGCCATCCTTTGTACTTCTGGCTACGGGACAGAACCAGAAAGCTTGCAGCCTTCTGCACAGTAACGGTACTTTTAGTGTGCGCCAGGCGCGAAGTCGTGGCGTAAATTGGTTTATGTGCAGGGTGTGGTGTGGGCGGCTGCAAGATAAGGGAAATACCGCCAAAGGCCTCTAGTCTCGCTTGGTCTTGAAGAGGTAGTCCTCCTATCCAGAATGTCATCTCGTTCTCAGGATTGGATTCCTATGGGCAGATAGGCTGGTGTATGCCGACCATTAGAAGTGTGATAAGTGAGCCCACGACGTTGCAACTAATCGTCTAAAAGTTGATAATGATGCAATGCACAATCACTGGCGCCCCTGGTTCGATCGCCATGCAAATGAATGGCTTACAGAATGGTAACATGCATAAACAAGAAGTAACATGCAGACGTATTTAGTGACGATGACGATAACGTACAGGCATGCAAACGTATTTAGTGACGATGATATTTGACTGGCAGTATATTTCATTAACCTACAGTTTACCCTCACATTAGCCCTTAACCAGGGAAAAAGGAAACAAATGCACTATTTCGTTTTCCATGATGGATTATACTGAAAACGACAAAAACGCACAAACGAAAACATTTGTAAAATTGTTCCTGTTCGTTTGCAGTTGAAGTTTCCCATGGTCAGAGGATTTCTAGTCCATCGATATGTCAATATATCAGAGAGCTGTTATGCATGTCAAGCATTTAACTCCGCAGGTACAGAAAAAGACGATTAAATCAAGCAAACATCAATGCTGCCCTAATTATGGTAGTGCGTGAATTAGTGTTGGTATAATACAGCCTGAACGTCCACTCGGTGTCATTATAGGCGCCAATTTGCCTTTGATGCCAGGGCCATGGTGCCGAATAACAAACCATTTTGTAATCATTTTTTCCTTGAATCGAGGCTTACAGATCATTGGAACGACACTCATCGCAGGAATCCCTGCATAAGCACCAGGAAACGACATCCCCTATGCTCCGTCGTGATGCTTCAGATGGCAGGTGCTGAGTGTCTCCGTACAGAGGCGGTGGGCGGGGTGCTGAGTGCCTCCGTACAGAGGTCGCTGACGGGGTGCTGAGCGTCTCCGTGCAGAGATCGCTGATGGGGTGCTGAGTGTCTTCGTACAGAGGTCGCTGACGGTCTGCTGAGTGTCTCCGTACAGAGGTCGCTGATGGGGTGCTGAATGTTTCCGTGCAGAGGTCGCTGATTGGGTGCTGAGTGTCTCCGTACAGAGGTCGCTGGCGGGGTGCTGAGTGTTTCCGTACAGGGTTGGCAGGCGGCGGGCGGGGTGCTGAGTGCCTCCGTGCGGAGGTCGCTGACGGGGTGCTGAGTGTCTCCGTACAGGGGCGGCAGGCGGCGGGCGGGGTGCTGAGTGCCTCCGTACAGAGGCGGCAGGCGGAGGCGGGGTGCTGCGCGTCTCCGTACAGAGGCGGCGGGCGGGGTGCTGCCGCGTCCGTACAGAGGCGGCGGGCGGGGTGCTGCGCGTCTCCGTACAGAGGCGGCGGGCGGGGTGCTGCGCGTCTCCGTACAGAGGCGGCGGGCGGGGTGCTGAGCGTCTCCGTACAGAGGCGGCAGGCGGGGTGGCTGCCAGCTGCCAGCAAAGGCATGGAGAACTGCGCCGCATGACGCTGTACAAAACGGTGCAGTCTACGCCCGCAGGGAAGACTTCAACGCCGAGGATGGCACCGATTAGGCAATCCCTTGCGTCACGCCAAGGGGCGATGGGCGCAAATCGAGTCGATGCAACAAACAATGCCAGGGGAACACAGACAATGTTGGGATATAATGAAGCGCATAATCCCATCATGCATGGTGGGCAGCATCAAGCTATTCAATCCTGCAGAATCCCCTGTCCGGGCGCGTTCGGGGAGCAAAGGGAGCTCAGCCGCCAGTATAAAGGGTCACATTTCGCTCCTGATGCACATGGCGGGATACATTCAGCGTCTTCCCCGTTCCTTTGACTCCAGCACCATACTGCCACCGACCGTTAAGCCCACCTGTGACCCGCCACCCAGAGCTCGGCGTGTATGGCTCGGCCGGCTCGCAGCAAACACGATGAAGCCGAGAGGCTTCGATAAAGCCGAGCGGCTTCGATAAAGCCAAGCGGCTTTGAAGCGCTGTGGTTGCACCACGCCCACTGGCGTTCAGCGCGTGGCGTGCCGGTGTTCACCACGTGGTGAGAGAGGCAGCTAGGCTCCACCCATGTTGACGGGGCCTCCCTGTCCGTGAAGGAAAGGATGGATTGAGCGCAATCGCAAGCGGTAACGGGGACACTCAGCCGCGTGGGAGTTACTTTCTCCACGACCGTTCGATGTATAGCCCATAACACTGCATTTTATGGTTCGGCACGGCGAGAGGGAGGTGTACGTAAGTCCGAGCCCCGAGGCAGTGCTGGCCCGTAATTCATAACGCGAAATAGGGCGGGAAGGAAGCTATGTAGTGCCATCCGTAATATATGTGAAGGGGAACAAATCTGCTCGTGAATTTGATGCAAAATGACCCATCTACAGGTCGAGACGGTTGGCTCCGTGTCATTGAAAATCTTGAGTTCCATTACAAAATTAGTATTAGCCTTTTGGCCGGATGGATTTCTGGAATCTAGACCGCGGCTAAGCAGTGTCTGTTGCGTGAGTCCTGACTGTGCGATCGGATCGCGAGATTCCGGGCCAACGGCCGAATTTTGCGGCAAAAGCTTAGCCCTCCCACAACGGGAGGTTTTCACCTCCATCCAACAAGAGGGGAGAGGGTTCACAAGCCCCTGCTAACATTAACAAAATTGAGAAGGGCAGAGCCGCGCAAGACTGCATCGGAAGTCTTTCGCCCAGCCGTATCAAATCGATTGGCCTGAATAATGCTGAATGTGGCCTTCAACAGGTCAATTACCGGAATGACGCTGAATGTGATATTTGACAGGTCATTCAGGTCAAGCGAGTCAAATTTGCACTCTGTATGCCCCTCCAGTTATCTCAAGGACCATGCATGCTGCAACAATTCAAAAGACTACGTTTAGTGGCCTTTGTAAGCATCTATTGGATAGGCAATAGGGGAGAACGATGCCTGATTTACGACCTGTCATCTCAAGTCAAATAGGTGAAGGCAATTGTCACATTAGCCTGTCCGGATACATCAACAACCGAACAAGTCACGTTAAAGGGAATGTTCCACATTTGTATGGTGTTTTGAACTGAAATACCCATCTTGAGGGCATTTTGATGCAGTTCACGGATATGCCCTTTTTAAGACCCAAAACGCTATGGTTCCTGAGTTACACGCCCGCAAAGAACGAAAAGGCTTATTTACAGCCAACTTCAAAATCGCCTTGTGATTAATGACGCCATAGAAAAGTCATTGAATCCCCGTGATATTACAGACTGTTTTTTGTTTATGGTCAAAAGAGCACGGCCGCTGATACATTCGCAAAGGCGACGATG